AGTCAGAGGTAATTTCACCTTGGTTCCATCATCCATATCTACTAATCTCTATTGCAAAAAACGGATCTCCCATTATATTTCCCCCAGGTAGGATCTGGTAGGTATCTCCTCAGGGGCATGGTTGAAGGTATGGGACCTGCGAAAAAAAAGGTTAAAGAGACAAAAGAAAGAATGAAAAGATAGGAAGAAAAAAGAAAAAAAAAAGAGGGAAGGAAAAGAAAGAAAATGGAGAAAAAAAATTGACAGACTCTAAGGAACCCTATATAAGGATTAGAGTTAGGCTAGTTCTGATGTCAAATGATACCAAAGTTAACTCAACCAAAAACGACAAAAAAAAATTTATTACGTAAAAGATAACTTCAAAAAATTCAAAACTTTACCAATAATAGAAACAAGACTAGCAAAAGACGAAAGAAGGCCGGGGGCGTCGAGGTCGAGGCAAGTGCTGGCCAGCGGGTAGAAGAGGTGACAGCTGGTGGTGGTGGCATCGAAGAGAGCAACAGTTACGAGTGGTTGTTAGAGTGTATTGCAAGCAACCGATAGGCGACTGGGACGGGCTAGACAGACTGCTAGAAGGTAACCGACGAGACAACAGTTGTTGGGAGGAGCCGGACAGGCTACTGGAAGGTGGCCGACTAGACGGGCGACTGCTGAGAAAAGTCGAACGGGCCTCCATAAGGTGCTGGAGGAACAAACGACGGTTGGGAGTTTGTGACTTTCTGGATTTGCAGACAAGGGAGTGTATAGAGTCAGAGGAATGGAGTATTCAACCTTCTAAAGTCGCAGATAGACCATTGCGGTCACCTGGAGCCGTGAGAGGGTAGCGGCGATTTTCTGGAATCACATACAGAGGAGTGGCGGGAACTTCGAGTCGGAGGAATGGAGGCTATAACTTTTTGGAGTCACAAATAGGCCGCTGCAGTCACCTGGAGTCTCTAGAAAGGCGACTTTGGTCTGTTGGAGCCATAGGCAAAAGTCGGTGTCTTAGGACAACCGAGAGACAGTGGAGATAATCACCACCTAGGACGAGTTATAATTAGAACAACTTCTCGCCATCGGATACAACCCTCAGAGGGGAAAACGTTGATAGCAAACTCTGAATTAAAAAACAAATCAACTACTACATGATCTAAGCAAACACCACACCTAAATATAATAAGGATTAGTACCAAGATTAGTTAATGTTAGAATAAGAAATAGTAAAAAAAAAGAAATATAAAAGGCATGGAGTAGAATAGGAGAGAGATAGAAAAGGAAAAGGGGGATAGGAAGAAAAGGGAAGGGGAGAGCTGAGCGGTAATTCCTGCCCCTTTCTAAGGGTTGGCCAGTCCAGCAAGGCTGGACTGAAATTTTATGGGGTTGGCTCAGTCAGCCCCATTTAGCCCTATGTCATGGTTTGTCCCACCTTGGTAGGTGATGCTCATTAAATTTCGGTTGTTTATCACCCTTTATAAGTGAAACTTTTAAAATCATAGAAGATGAAATAAATAGACAAAATCACTAATCACTTAAACATGAATCATCATCTGATTAATAAATTTGAACACCACCTAATCATCAAATTTAAGTTGTTCGATACCATAACCAATTTAACACACTTGATGTTGTGATTGTCACTCCCTAATCAAAAGACCCCCCCCCCCCCCCTCCTTTTTTTTTTTTTTTGTTTTTTTTTCCTTTTTGTGTGGTGTGATGTGATGTAATTATGTGATGTTTGTTATGATATGATATTTCTTGTGATGTTTGTTATGATATCATATCTATTGTGATGAGATGCCATCATTAGTTGCCCTTGAGCAACTAGAATAAAAAAAGTCTTCTTACAGATGGCCATGTATGAAAAGGGGTAATTAAAATTATTAAAAATATATTTATTTCGCATGCAGGTAAGATTATGCTAAGCTAAGCCCTAAGTAAGAATGTTCAATAGAAGATAACTTGGCACCAATCTATGTCGAATTTTGTGTGGCATGATTGATTGCTTATAATTTCTCTATTGATAACATCTATTTCGTAGGGGTGACTTTGTAACTTCTGATTTTAACTATGAATTTTTTAATCTAGGAAAGCCATGGCAGGAGGCTAAATGATGATTCTACGAGAAAACGTTGAAGATCTCATACACCAAATTCATCATTAGGATAAACCTATAATTTTTTCACTAATTAGTATGTATGGAAAAGTTCAATAAACCTATAATTTTTTTTTAAAGTGATGTTTGCTTTAAAAACGTATGATAGTTTGTTAACCTATTTGTGCAAAAGCTTGAATTACTGTCATCGTTAGGCTCTTATAATGCTAAAAATTTTATTTTCACAATTAAAAGAACTAATTGACCTAAAAGCAATTTAGAAAAAATTTCAACCAAAAATTATTATTATATGGCTTCTAAAGCCACTTTTTAAAAATAATTAATCTCTAGCCTCTTCAATGAACCCTAGTGTGCAGTAAATGTTTAGTTAACTTGTCTTATTCATTAAAGATGTACTCTATTAAGTACGTAAAAACATCAGACTGACACGCACAAATGCATAGCCTAATGAATCAACAAAGAAGATTTACATTCTTTTTATACCTCACTTATGTCCAGATAACTAAATCAAAAAAGTCTTTCATATGCATATCATGTTCATTCATGGTCAGACCTCCTTTCTTCAACAACAAGGTTGTAAGTTTCAATTTTTATATACCACATATGCCCTATCATGTTTTTACATAGAAAGCGGGCATCATAATTTTATGCAATTAGTTAAGTCTAGATGATTCTTCCCAGGTAGGATTGTAAATCCAGTAATGGGCATTCTTAGTCTATGTTGGGGCTAAGTTATAAGTCTCATCGCTGGATCTGTATTAGTCTAGGTCGTGGGTTATACTCAGTTAGTATGCTTGATCATCTTTAAATCTAGGTTCGAGCCTGAAATTGAGCTTATAATTCATCTACCATCAATAGACAAGCTTTAATTCAATATGTACATATCTACGTCACACGATGACATCCCTTCACCTGTATAGCTATGTGTATAATATGCTTGCTTATACTGATCTATGTACGCTTGGTTGTTTTATATCATGCATATTGAATAACCACTTGAGCCTCTTTTTCATTAGAGTGTGCATTCTAACTTAGAAAACCTAGTATGTCAAATTCCAAAGGTAGCATTTGGATCAGGATGCGGATCCTACTTGTAGACTATGATCGATAGCATCTGGATCGTGTAACTGGATCCTATTTGTGGGATATGATCGATAGTATTTGTATCTTGTAACTGAAAGCGGATACTTCTTGTGGCTATGATTCAAATTTCTTGACGACAATGATAAAGGATTTCTTGTTTTTCTTTGCTCAAAGCTTTTCTTTGCTCAAATCATGTTATGGTTCAGGAGTTGTCTCCGAGACTTCGACATTCTCAGTTTTGGGACTTTCAGCTTCGGCACTCACGGCTTGAGGACTACTGGTCCCGACAAAATTTCTTGTTGGCAATTTGATGCTTTTTGATCAGTCAGCATCAATTTGAGAGGGGATTTCAATCAGGAAAGACGAGAATCAGACAGTTAAATTAAGAGTTTTCTATAATTAGGAGCTTCCTTTTTTAAATTATTTCCAATATTTTTATTTTGATTAATTACTTTTTAGTTGCATATTTAGATTAGAAATATGTAATATTAAGTTACCTAAAATAGATTACACAAGATATTTTGTACCTAAAATAGATCGTAAGATTATTATTTAATGGAATGAAAGCAAACGGAAAAGGCATCGAGCCTATTCATAATTCAGTCTATTTTTCTCAAAACTTTGACACCCATTCCATCTTTCCATTCAAATTCCTAAAATCTAATTATCTTATTCTATTCTAAATTATGCTAGAATAATGTCAAGTATTTGTCAAGTATGTACTATACAAGTGGCAACCCAGCTTATGCACAACATGCAGCAAGAAGCTTATTGTTGAAGAAGCATGACTGATTGTAAAGACAAGACAGTCGATTGCCTAACTAGTCAATAGCAATCAAAGCATTATAAGGCAAGTGTTTCATGGAGTCATGGCGTATAGAATGGCACATGTTGATTTTAAATTACAAAAAGTAATAAAAAATATTAATAATTAATTTTTAATTCAATAATATAAAATAAAATATCTCAAAAGTTAGGAAAAAATAGTTACAACATATAAATAAAGTCTATGCTTGATTTAATATAAAAGCTGTATTATGAAAGATAATCATACAGAATCATGACACATACAAAATTATATTTGCAAGAAAAAGAAAAAAGAAAAAAGAAAAAAACTATTATGGCTACAACAATGCTTAATCCCATAAAAAATATCAAAGTTCGAAAGTTATGCTCAAAACTAAAGAAATTGTTTATTTGTAATTTCCACAATAAAAAAAAACAGAATTGCCTATTGAGAGTCGCCATCAACATCATGAACAAAAATAGCCTCAGTACTTCCACTATTATCTCCCAAAATACAATGCTCTTCATTTTCATGCTCGTCTGTAAAAATCTACTAGACTTATACGAATACTGTTACTTTTAGAGCAATCTCAAATATTATAATTCCTTTCATAGACGCTAGTACTCACATCATTACTCCATGTGGATTTTTGTTTACCAAAGACTAATTCATACAATTCATCTTACTTATTATCCATTTTCTTTGCTATGCCATTCAAAAAAATTGAGTTAATAATAGTGTGATGTTTGTATCTCTAACCCCGCTATTATACTTCATAAAAACCAAAAAAGCTCATGCAAGAATAAGTAAGAAAATCAATAAAAAAATCAACAAAATATAATGCACATAGTCGGTGTTATTATGCCTTTGTGCATGTCACTGTCAATAGTGCAAAAGGTGAGCCTAGTCATACTATGATGTTATAGTTAATTTTATATTGTGCTATTGACATGTACATAACTACTTATGGGGCATTTGATACAATAATAAGAAAGCATATTGCAAGTAATAATATTGAGAATCAAGGATTGCCTGCACCTTCAAAATTGCAGCTCGAAATAAGTCTGGACGGGCATTGATAGCTGCAGCAATTAGTAGACCACCAGCGCTATATCCCCACCCAGCAAGCTTATTTTTGTGAATAATACCTTTTTCTATAAGAAACTCTGAGCATGAAATGTAATCCATGATAGAATTTTGTTTCTTTAAACGCATGCCATCCTGATGCCACTTTCTACCGCCACCACCACCACCTCTAAAGCCATGGAAGTTTATTAGACAACAAAACAAATGAAAGGAAAAAGAACATAACATTCAACACAAAGGAAAAACGAAAAGATTAAATCACAATGTAGGAGAGTATACGAAAGAAGCAAGGAATTATCCTTTTATTACCAAAAACACCAGAAAAAATAGAACTTGCGTTGAATGTTCTTGCCTTGTTTAGATATCCTTGATTATTTATTGCCCAACATAAATTGTTGTTTCTTCAACATAGTTCGGTAAACTGTCTTTTAAATAGCTTGTTTATAACTAACTGAACAAAATTCAGAATAAACAAGAGAAGATGACAATTCATAACTAGGAAAAATTGAAAAAGTACTAGTAATTAAAAAACCAAGGAAAACATTTTTTTTCATTCAATAGTTAAAATAATATTCAAACCGTTAAATTTACAATAAAAGATCCTCTGTCAAGAAACAAAATCAAAATTAATTTTTGATCGAGTACCAATTGACACACAGGTATATAAATGTAAGCTTCAAAATGCCCTAATGTCCTGCATGAACATATTTTAAGAAGCTAAGAGGCTTCAAATTACCTAACATCAGCGTATGCAACCACCCAACCACGATCAAGAAGACTCTTTAACTCACTTCTCCAACGCTTATCTAACAACTCGCCATAAGCCCCATGTCCATGAAGTAATCCAGGACCACCCTCTTGTTTGAGTCTCCGAGAATACACTACTGTCAGTGGAACCATAACACCATCCTCAGATGGAACATCATAGTACTCGCAAGCATAAAATTCATTCAGCTCATTCCATGTCCCACTTGAACAGTCAGCATCATCTGCAACATTAAAGCTCACTGAGGTCTGAGGTTTCACACTTCCTAAAGAAGCAAAACCATATAATGTTTTTGATCTCTCAAGAAGCACATTTTGTTGTTGGATTATGTTCCATTTTCCATTTAATAAGTTGTAGTCAACTACAGCATCAGGCATCTGCTCAAGTTCACAAAAAGTACACTCCATTATGTTAATTAAAGACGACGAGTTTATCATATAATACTCAAGTTCGGATATGGAAATAAATAAATAAATAAGGGCTTGTTTGGAATCACCTACATTCTTAGCTTTTAGTTTTTTATTTTCTTTTAATTTAAAAATTATTTGTTTTGCATATTTTTGTTTTCAAAAACAAATTAGTATGTCTTTAAAAAAACTTCAAACATCTTAAAGTTATTTTTAGTGTTTTTAAAAATAAATAAATATGTTACAACACATTAAACATGTTTTATTCGAATCAGGTGGTGTAGGCAGTGACGGAAAGATGAGAAACTACAGGGAAAGCAGGAGGGCTTATTGACCTGGGTGGCAGCAGCAAGAGATTGGGATGGGAGCGCCAGAAACAGTAAGGATAGGTTGTCCCGTGTCACAACAATGAGGGAAAACAACAGCCGGTGAGTTTCTAGAGGTGGTAGCAAGTATGGGAGGGTGGATGGGAAGGCTGGGGACTGCTGGACAACAGCAACACCATGCTGTTTAGGCGGCGGCAGCAACAGAGGGAAGTGGGGAAGTAAAGTAGGAAGTTTGATGAAGGGTGGAGGAAAGGATAGCCATTATCTTGGGAGCGAGAAATAGCCCAAGCACCACTTGTACTTTTGGATGCAACCCTTGGAGGAAAAACAGATATGTCGGCGGCTGTCCCAAACAAACACACTACCAAAAACTAACCCTAAAACATCACAAAAGCAACAATATAATACTATGGTAACTAGGAGTGGGCTCCTCTACTTGAAAGAGGTATTAATTCCTTTGGTAGAGTCAGCTCTCACAGAACCTGTATCAAACTGGTCCAGGCACCCTCCACACCCCGTGTTTGTGGACAATCTCCTGAGGTTGGGGGGAGCTTCGACCTCATTTGTCGAAGCTTTTGTCACTTCATAGTACGGAGTTTGGTCGTCCACATTGAAGGTGATAGAGCTACAGTACTTTCCCGGGGTTGGAGGGCCTTCGACTACGTCTCTAGAAGCATTTTGGATCCCACTATCATATGCATTGTCCTATAAAACACATCAGAAAGTTTCCCCAATCGCTAGTAACCATCCATATCAGTCCAACCATCTGTATGTGCCCTACTGAGCTAAAATGAAACTTCATGTCAAGTTTACTATATAGAATCCCTAAAATTAGACCAAAGTTGGCTCATCTTTCTCTGAAGTGAGACAGACTGAGCCTCTCCTACCGGTGGTGGCCATGGCAGTAAGTTGTTTGTCATGCTATCCTAAAACTATCTATATAGTGTTGACTTGTGTCTGATATTAACTCTCCCACCTTGCTACACTCCATCATCACTAAAATTGATCCCCTTGGCACCTCTCCACTAGCATGAGCAACTACGACCTCGGACTCCGTAGAATGTAGAATTATGTGCTTTCCATCTTTTGTGAATGATTAGGTGTTCTTGAACCAATCATACCAAGACTGGCAATCAGACTGCCATGGTCTCCCCAGCAGGATGTGATAGACACCCATGGACATGACATCAAACCACATTTGATCCTGTAGCTAGTTCCCAATAGAAAAATCCATGAAGCATCAATTATCAATAGTAACCCAGTTCTTCTTCTTCAACCAAGTCAGGGAATATGGTGGGATGCAAATTTTTTTCACCATTTGTGTAGATGGCACATTCTCCTCCATCGATGATAATGCCACACACATTTCTCTTTACAGTGCAACGAGTCTGAAAGATGTTGAGACAAAGCTACTACTACTCCTTCATAGCTTCAATCTGAATAACCCGTCAAACCACAAACATCTCGCCCTTATCTGCTAGAAGCAGGTACTCTTTACCTTGCTCTTCAACAGCCTCCGGGGAATGAAATAACTTGTTGGACAACTGAAAGCGATATGTCTATATCCATGGCACATGAAGCATTTCCTGATTGGAACTGTGTTGGGCGTGCTACTCTTCTCAGATTTTTTCCACACATATCAACTATGTCAATCACCCGACCAGTCTTCACAACTCCCTCAGGTGTGCTTCTACTGACACCCACAGCTGATGGTGGTTGTTTGAATGGAAACAGGTGTCTGCTATACTTTTGTTGTCTCTCGACCGTCTGAACATCACACAATGACCAAAAAAGTTGTCGCTATACCACAATGCCAATGGAGGGCTTCAGGCCTCCCAAGTATCTGATTATAATGTGCTACTCTAGCTCTGTCAATTCAAATTTCAGCTTAAGTTGCTCGAATTCCATTTGGAACTCCACTGACGCTTCCTTCTGTTGTAGGTGGAGTTTCAAAAACATATCTTGACGGTAGTGTGGGAGTAGGTACTTCCTTTGCATCTCCTTCATCTGCTCTTAAGTGACGATTTTACTTCGACCTTCTCTCTATCTCACTCTCTTCAGATTCTCCCACCACAAAGAGACACTTAAACTTTGTGGCAGTGAGTTTCAATCTCCAATCAGCTAGCACCTCCCTATACTAAGAGATCTTGTTAACCGACTATAACGACTCAATGAAGTCATCCAGATTCCTTCTTCCCGAAATTCGATAGGTCTACCTTGACTCGTAGATCTCTCTGTCCTCCAACTGTCGATTCATCGATCGGCCTCCTCTAATATTGGATCCCAAAGTATCGTGGCTTACCTTCCTCTTAACAAGAATTTTCCCTACGAAAAGGATTCAAGTATTCCTCCCTCCTCCTCGAATTTTGCTATCACGATCAACGATAACCTCTCCCAAGCCCAGATGTGTAACACTGTCATTGTCAGTCCCAAGCTCGGATGTAAAAAGTAGAGGGTTATGTTATGTAGTCAACAACCAGCATAAAACTTGTTAAAAAAATCATGACATGAATTTTTTTTATCATTGTGTAAGTGCTAAGGCGTCCCCCTGGAAGCGACGCGTTGTATAGCCTGAATATAGTGAAAAGTGTGCAAGGGCCGCTATACCGGCGCCCGGGTGTTGTGTCAAATAAGCAAGGATTCTCATATTATGAATGGATGCGGGTAAAGAAGTTAATCCATGAAACTAAAGAAACTAATATTAGGATAGGAACTTGGAATATAGATATTCTCAATGATAAATTAATGAAATTAGTTGATATTATGATTCACAGAAAAATTAATATCTTATGTATTCAAGTAACTAAATGAGTTAGAGAAAAAACTAACGAGATTGATAACTTAGGTTTTAAACTTTAGGATTCTGGTAAGATTCATACTAGAAATTGTGTAGGTGTAATTATAAATAAGAGTTTGAAAGATAATATTGTAAAAATTAATAGAATTCGAGATAGAATTATAGCCCTTAAGTTTATCATTGATACAAAGATTTTTAATATTATAAGTGTTTATGCTACTCAAGTAGGTTTAGATATAAGGTCTAAATTATGGAATGACTTAGAAGACTTAATACAAATGATATCTCTTGAAGAAAGAATTTTTATTGGAGGAGATTTAAATGGACATGTCGGTAGAGTAGTAGAAGATTTCAGAAATATTCATGAGGGCAGCGGTTTTGGAGTGGCTAATGAAGAAGGTATAGTTATTTTAGATTTTGCTTTAGCATATAATTTTATTATTACTAATATTTTATTCAAGAAAACAGATAAGCATCTTAGTACTTCTAAGAATGGATCTAATAAAACACAAATTGATTATTTTCTTATGAGAAGAAGAGATTGTCGAGATTGTAAAGATTGTAAGGTCATTCCAAGAGGGGTTCTAAATACCCAATATCGTGTATTAGTTCTAGATTTTAAGATAATGAGTTGTAAAATAAAGAATATTATGACTCATTACCGTAGAATCAGACGAGGAACCTAAAAGACACAAATAAAATTATTTTTATGAGTAAAATTCAATATTTCAAAATTTAGGATGTTTATCATGAAGCAAATGCTATGTGGGATAAAATAATAAAAACTATTAAACAAGTAGCAAAAATGTACTTCGAGAATCAAACGAAAAAGTTTCTATACATAAAAATAGTTGGTGGTGGAATAATAATCTGCAAGAAAAGATAAAATAAAAGAAGTTATGTTATAAAAAGAAGTTATGTTATATAAAAGAAGTTATGTTATAAAAATTGTTTTAAATGTAAAAGCTCAAAGAACTGGGAAAAATATTAAACGAACTGCAGGGAATCTAAAATATTAAGGAGGATTGGCCTTTAAGAGAGAAGCATAATATTAAGTTAAGTGTTGTCGAGATGAGAATGATTAGGTGGATGAGTGGTTTTACACTTAGAGACAATGTGAAATGAATATATCCATAGGGTTGGTGTAGCTCCTGTGACGAACAAAATTAGAGAAAATCGTCTTAGATGGTTTGGTCACATTAAGCGATGACCATCTGATGATCTGATTAAATGAGTAGATTTTTATATTTGACTTATGTTAAGAAAGGCAGAGGTAGACCTAGGAAGACTTGGGCTTATTGTATAAAAAATGATCTTAATTTATTAGAACTAAATGAAAATATGACACTAAATAAGACTCAATGGAGAAAAAAGATTCATGTAGCCAACCCCATGTAGTGGGATTAAGGCTTTGTTGTTGTTGTTGTTGATCAACGATAATCTCTCCATAGGTTCTTTCCTTAATTTCAACAGGCCTTTGTTGAAGGCGGTGGAATTCCCACTGCACCTCTTCTATAGTAAGTTCCTGAACTGCACCAACACTTGTCTCCTCAATGATATGGTTAGGGTTTAGATTTGATGGGTGAAGCGGACATGACTAATGAGGATAGAGAAGATATTAGATAGTATAACATTTCTGGATGAAAGAAGAGTATCATTAGTTAAGTTTGTGTTAAATAGAGGAACCCAAAGCTGATGGCGTGTGCAGCATCAGGATAAGCTAAGGGACATACCCAATATGATGATCAGTTGGGAGGAGTTTGTGGAGTTATTCAGATAATAGTTTGTACTATCCACTCAAAGAAAGATACAATACATGTTCATCAAATTGCGGCAAGAAGAGAAGT